ATGCCCAAAAAAGCTCTGGCCGGGAGACCCCACTACGGGAATTTAAATGCCGTCTTTTAAAGGTTAAGGGTATCATCCTTTGGAGAGGACATGATCATAGTATCCTTAGTACTATGTATGTTGACATCTGATAGTTTAAAAGCTTGAATCCAGCATTCTAGGTTCTAAAATCATCTCTCTTCATCCCACTCATTACCACTCTACCATCACTACTGCCTAGAAGCTCAAATCACTAGTTCAAGAACAACTCCTTTACCCTTCAAACCAGGTTTGGCAATGGGCTGACATTTCTTATACCACCATCTCAACTCAAAACACCATATTTGCTCTGTGTTTCAAAGAGCTTAGGCTCCATGATTTTCTCTTAACATCCAGAGAACCTTGGTTTGTCGGTCTCACCCTCTTGGAGAATTTGATTACATCTATAGGCTCTCTTCATAGAAAAGTCCTGCCCTCCCCACAAAACTTAGTATATGATTTCAGGAGGTTGGCCAGGCTAAGATTTNGAAAAGTCCTGCCCTCCCCACAAAACTTAGTATATGATTTCAGGAGGTTGGCCAGGCTAAGATTTATGCATTTAAATGGAAAATTGGAGGAGGGGGCAGGAAGAGATTAACCAACGAACTTATATGCATATATGCATAACCCCATGGACACAGACAATAGTATGGTGAAGGCCTGGCAGTGAGGTGGATGCAGGGTGGAGGGGGTCAATGGGGGGAAAAAGGGGGACATCTATAATACTTTCAATAATAAAGATAAATAAATAAATAAATAAATAAATAAATAAATAAATAAATAGAAAAGTGACACTCTCTAAAATGAATAAAAGGCAGTATAGAGGAATTGTACTCTGTCGCCAATTATCCTGGACACTATCTGGCTCATTCTTTTCATGTAACTGAGGAATTATGGATTAAATCCATCACAGTAGGCTGAGTGATATAGCGTTGGAACATGCAATTTCTGAAATCCAACAGACTGAGGTTCTGTCACTTTCCAACTCACTAACCCTGTGCTAACTACTAAAATCCTGACTCTCAGTTCTCATATCCATAAAATGGGCATCAAATATGATCTATCTCATGGAGTTATTTTGAGGCTTGTAGAAGCTAAATCATGGAGTGTAATACATGCACTGATTAATGTATACTTTTCCTTAAACCTGAGAACAATCAACTTGTGCCTGGATAGATATAGGGATTTAGTGAAAATATGGATTCTAGACATTACAAAAATAACCTACCCAAACCTTCATTTACATCGGGCTTGACATTTTCCTAATCAACAAAAATGACTTTTGTGTTCACTTACCTTCATCTTGTCCAACAATGAACTTGTGTGTTTTCAGCAGATTGGACCTCATTCTAGTTAACTGGTCTAAAAGACCTCTACGTGAAATATCATAAGCATTTCTGTATGTCTGAGGTTTCAAATCCTATTTGAAATGAAACAAATAACTTCAGTTACTCTTGAGGTTTTTAATACAGAAATACAATTCTTAACCCTCTTAAAATCATGGTAAAGGACTAAGCATTCACTAAAATTGACTACCATAAAATTTTCCCAGTGGAAAATCTATACTCGCTGGCCTTGTTCTGAATTCTAATACTCCCACAAAGCATTCAAAGCCACTGGGAATATTATTTTTGAAGTGTGTAATTTAAAACACCAAAGCCTGAGATTCATGCCTGTGGCACCATGGAGGTGAACCACTAGGATTTCCTTCCAGGAAGCAATGGCTGATCCTGAAGGGAGTGTAGTTAGCTGAGCTTAAGGATCTGCTGCAGCATTTGAGCTGAGGCCATGCTCTTCCCAGGCTGCCCCCCACCAGTCACTGAGAATGGTGGGAGGTATTAGGCCCTGGCCAGTTTGCCCAATGTGGGCCTCTTCTATGGCAAATCTTGGTGCCAGAGGTCCGTGTTGGGCTGGCCAAGAGTTTCTCCCAGCTACACCAGTGTCTGAGTCTCTTCATAACCATTCCTCCTTCCTTGTCCCCTCTTGTCACAGGTGCTAGGTCAGCAGTGTAATCTGAAGGCTGTCTGTGCTTACTCCTGTTCCCTCTCCCCTGTATCTTTCACAGACATTACCCCCTAAACATATCTTGTACATTTAATTCCATATTGGCGTCTGCTGGCAGGATAATGTCTAAACTGGTCCATCAATAACTATAAGGTCCAAGATGGGATTGTAATTATTATGAAACTAAAGTAATACGGAAGACACAAGTGTATCAAATAAGTTCAAACAAACAAACTATTTATGTAACTTACTTTGTTTAAAAGCCCTACTTGAAAGCCAGCAAATTCTTTGGTATTCAATTCTGTCAGCCTTGGTGAAGTTTCCCCTATGATTTCTTTCAATAGTTTTCTAAAATTTTTACTGTGAGTCAAAGACACACCACCTCCAGAATGATTTTTCACTTTGATTCCAATTTCTTGGGGAAGTTTCTTCCCCACTGATGCTAGAATTCGTTCTGACTCTAGTTTGGTCTAAAATGAAAGTACATAGTATGTTATTAAAAGATTTATATTCTCACTGTCATTTTTACTACTTAAGAAAGATAATACTTTAAGAACCCCACAGAACAATTTTCAATTGCAAATCACAGAAAAACGGGTAATTAAACATTTTCCTGTGCTTCTCTGTACTACCACAGCAAACAGAGGGGGGGGGCTAGAAGACAAATAACAATACATTTTTTATCTTGTCTCAAAATTATGATTGAATCATGGAGGGAATGGAAACCATGGGTAAGAATTACATTCATAGACATTTAAAATTGCATTTTGTTACTAAAAAATCGAGTCTACATATTCATTTTGGGCTCTGTATTTATAAATGTAAACTAGTGCTAAAATTCAGATTACATAGATTGGTATTATATCTGAAAAAAATCCAACTGTTTAGTTCTAAAATTGAACCATCCAAAAATTTAATGCCTAATTTAATAAATATTACCAAGTAAATTATTTGTAATATGTGCTCAATGTTTCTTACAACAACAAAAAAATCCTCCTGCTAAATACCATAGCGATAAATAGTGCTTGAAAGTGCATTGTAACAATATATTGGGCATATGTTGTGATTTACATACATTTGAGATAGTTCAAAAATTGTTGGTGGCATAGTTACTAATGAGTAATTAGAGCTATTTTAAATTAGTAATGATCTTTTATTTTTCTGTAAAAGATGGAATTCCACCAATGTCCAGTAAGCTCAAAATAATTTTGAATTTTTTGTGGTTTGATTACAGATATTCATTAATTTTTCCTAATTATTGGAATTAAGTATGTTAATTTTTTAAAACAAATTAACTCAAGAAATAAGGGATAAGAGCAAATGAAGGGTCTGTTTCATAAATGGTCCTGAAATCTCATGTATAAAACTATACAAGCAATGTGTCCCAGAAGACCCCAGAACTTCCATGAGTTTCAACTCTGTTCACTATTCTTCCTTGTGGCCACACCCTGCTGACACAGCCTTAAAGGCCTAAGGTAAACATCAAATAAAAATATATAACTCAATAGAACAATAAATAAATAATAACAACAACAACAAAAAAACATTAACAACAAAAACATATCAGCAGAGAGGAAAAGGGGTTAAGGGGACACCTAATAGACCAGATATCTGGGTTTGCCCTTCCTTTCTTTGTATTTATGAGCACACTGGACTGGTGGGAGCTGGTTAACTCCAGAGCATACTTAAGTTTTTACCAGTTCCCTGTAAGGTGTGTCAGCATCCCAAATTGTGGAGGCATTTTGGGTCTTGAGTGAAATCTGCCACTTTTTTGCTTACTACCCTTTTTAAAGGTCCAACTTCCAAACATGTGGAACTTGAAGCATTATAGTCCCTGCAAATGCTACTACTATTCTCTCCCTGGGATTACATTTGTGCGTAAGTAAAGCTGCTGCATGAATGTCATAAAACATAACACATTTGTATGTCAGTAAAGCTCTAACTCAGTAGTTCTCAAACATTTCCATCCTGCAAGAATGGGCTAGGTAGAGGTGAGAGGTATGATAAGTAAGGGTGAGTGGAGTATGAGGTACTAATAGAGAGGGGCAGGCAAGGGACAAGGTGAATAATGGTAAATGAGGTGTGGGTATAAAGTAACAGATGGAGGGCAAGAAGAGAGAAGATTGAACTCCGCTCTTCAGGTCCCCTTGAGGCCTACCACCCTCTAGTGTGAGGAACACTGGTTTCATCTCCCCCTCTCCAAGAAAAAGCATATGAATATTTATTGCCTAAAAAACAAATTTCAGGCAAGTAATTTAATCACACCATGCCTCAATATGCTGACCTAAAAAGGGGGATGCAATACCCCAATGTGATTTGAGAAGGAACTAGGTTGAAGATAGACAAAATGTGACCCATGAAATAATTCTATTAAGTTTCTGTCCCTCTTAGGCCGTAAAATATCAACCAGCTTGTGGGTAGGACAAACTGGCAAGCAAAAGGAGAAATGGCACAGCATCAGATGATACTGACAGACCCTTAACTGAAGTTTAATGGTGAAGCTAGAAGCCATAGAGAATCACATTAGTACTAATCCATAAAGTGTAGAAATATATACACATTTAATTGGAAAAATTACAATTACACTAGAGAATAAGGAAATGCACTTCTGAGGGCAAAGGATTTTTGTTTGTTTGTTTTTTACCAATACTACCTGTTGGCTGAGTTTTTTAAGGTAAGAGATAACACTGTAACTAAGTCCACAATCTAAATTATCTGATATCAGATTTGGAGCTCCCATCATCCTTAGTGCTTTCTTTAATGGCTATAAGGAAACAAAATACACAACAGTAAGAATAGAATAAATCTTAAAATACTCAAAGTTCAGTTATAAGGGGCAAAGGGACATGATTCATTTCTTAGAAGTCAAGGTGCTGCACATAAAACCAAACATGGAACATTAAAAAGTGGCAATGAAAATAGCAGAGAAGTAAGGAGCAGAAAGTAAAAAAAATCAGAAGAGAGTGGGGTAAGAAGAGCAAGTAACAAATTCAAACAGGTAAATTGCTTTTGGTCTTAATTCCCAAGTCATAAAATTAGTTCATATTGCAATTTATTGTGCACCCCATTCCTGCCATGGTAAATAATAACACACCCCAATTTCTCTTCCCAGTGACACCAGACATCATGGCTCTGCCTTTTCACCTCTAGAAACTTGATTTAAAATTTAACACATCCACCTCTGAAATGATTTTGGTAAATCTTGATTTAGATTATGTGACCAGTTTAAAATCATCACAAATATGTTTCTCCAATTGTAAAAATCCAAATGAGGCCAAGTAATTTATTACTCTTTTTGGATCCCTCCCCCCGCCGCATTAGTGCCTCTGCTTCGTGCTGTGTCTAGGACACATTTAATAGTCTATAAGTAAATATAATGTCTTCAGAATTTTTTTCAGAGGGAAACTCCATATTGAGAACTTCTAGAGTTAAAAAGGGAGGTTGATATAATACATGAATCCAGATCTAGTCTTCTTAAATTCCAAAATTACGATTTCATAAGGTTAATTTTAATAAGAGAAATACAGATGTGCTTTATAAAAATAACCATGGCAGTTAAAGGAAATAAAATAAAACAGTTCTTTTTGTGCCACTATGACATCTCCAAGCTCTTACACATAATTTGAGAAAACAATGGTGACACAAATATTTATAAATTAAAAAAACTATCTCATTTCAGGGGTAAAGTTTTTGGTTCATTGACATTTCTTGTGACAAGAATCATCACTGATAGAGTTAATACATATATACACATAAATACATACTAATAAGTAATATGGAGGCAGAGTTTTTAAGTAGCTGTCAAAAGCCTGTCGCCACTTCAGATTTGGCTTAAGTTTGTGAACTTTAAACAAGTCATCTGTAAGAGAAAATCAAACCAAATATTATATTATTTCAGTCTCAAATACCAAGATCTAAATCAAGCAGCCCACATCTATTATATCATTTCCTAGAAATCTCAAGTTTTAATTACATTAGATGAAACTTTCATTAGAGTTTATTTGATTGTTGTTGTTTGTTTGTTTGTTTGTTTTTTTGGTACTATTTCCCAAAATTATATATAGTATTTTTCTAGAAAATGAAGTAAAATCTCAAGTTACATATTTCTCTTTTGCCTGTGAAGCTACATAAAATATAATATTGCAACACTAACTCTGATCCATGTGAAATATTTTTTTGACCTTTTACATATTGGTAACTCTACTGTCTTAATTTCCACCTGTGAGGGAATCCATGGTCACTGGTTGATGGAATATTCCCTTTATTTAAATAGAGGATGTGAAAAACAACAGCAACAAACTTAACTCATAGATATAGAAAACAGATTGGTGATTGCCAGAGGTGGGCTTGGGGTGGGGGTGGGTG